TCGCCATGAACCAATTCACACATAGTCAAAACATTCAAGCTAGTAACTCTATTCCTGCAATAAGAAATAACCAATCTTACAGTTTCGGAAGTTACCATGTACAATCTGCTTATACCTAATCAATTTAACACTGCAATCGTAGCTGTTTTAGAAGTTTTTATACGCGTGAATAGCCACATCTTGTCCTGTGAAGGCAGATTTTTTACATTTAAATTTAATGCGCTGTACAAAGGGCATCTCCGTGGTTCTTTGTTAGTTAGAATATGCCCATTCGTCATCCTGGTGTGGCTTATTTATCTTATTCGAGACATGTTCATTCTTTTCTGTTCACTCACTCGATGGCCCTCGGTTTGACCAATAATTTTTTCAAATAATTTGTACATTATTCCTAAATTTTTATTTTTGTGTAAAATGGCATTGTTATTGCTCTTTTGGCAGCTCGTTCGGCTTTCATAATTATTTGTTAAATGTACACATACTATAATATATAAATTCTCATAAAAATCAATAAAAAGATTATTTATTAACTTTCAATTAATTAAGGTTTTTAGTTGAAATAAAAAAGTCAGTGCCACGACCGGGATTCGAACCCACGATCTTTGGCTTGATACGCCGCTGCTCTACCACTTGAGCTATCGTGACTTCGATCCACTCGGACACTAACTTCCCATCACAACTCCACCTTTTGAATTTTTCTTTCTTTGTGCCGTTTTCAAATGTCGTGTAATCTATTTGATTCTCGGCGACAAATGAAATGGCCATGGAGAGCTTTAGTGAAGGTATACTTCATTTTTACTTATTAAATTAATTAATAATAATTAATATCTTGGATCTCAACCGCACGGACACCAACTTCCGATTACACGTCATTTGAAAAATGGCAAAAAGGAGGGAAAATTCAAAAAGTGCGGTTGAGATGGGAAGTTGGTGTCCGAGTGGATCGAGGTCACGATAGCTCAAGTGGTAGAGCAGCGGCGTATCAAGCCGAAGATCGTGGGTTCGAATCCCGCTCGTGCCATTGACTTTTTATCTCAACTAAAAACCTTAATTAATTGTAATTACTGATTTTGTTTAATCTCAAGACTTGGTTGTTTTCATGTATAGTTCACCAGGTATTTTCTTTAAACATCATTGATCAGGTTTGAGATGATCGACCCCGACGGAAGAAGAGAGGGCATACCTAGCGGCGAAAATAAATGTAAAAAGGGAAAACCGACCTCGATCCACTCGGACACTAACTTCCCATATCAACCCCACCTTTTGAATTTTCCCTCCTTTTTGCCATTTTTTAAATCCTGCTCGTGACACTGACTTTTTTATCTCAACTAAAAACCTTAATTGATTGAAAGATTGGTCAAGCGGACCACGCAAACTAGTGAATTATTTATTAACATTTTGAATACTAATCCTGACATAAATGATGCTTATATTTTTTTAAAGAGTTTAAATCGATAAAACTATTTTATAACGCTGATTTTTAATTCTTAGCTTTAAGTTTGAAACTTTTTCAATTTTTCCCCATTCATATGCGTTTTCTCTTTTTCCGAAGTTTAAAAGTTTGCTTTTATTTCACGTTATCGGAACAATCCATAAATTACTTGTTTTATGGGAGAATCTTTGCTTATTTTAACAGCCCAATTGAAAGGAAAAGTACTACAAATTTGATGTATTTTTTGTTCATTTTACTTACAGCGAGAATGAATTGAAACTGAAAACCTTTCTCATAATAGATAAAAATAAATCGCAATGACAGTCATGTTCCATTTTAACTGGAAGTTTAATTCAACGCGACCATACGCGCTTTTTCTATTGTTATTACAAATTGTCTTCGTAAAGTTTTTAGACTGACTTTTGTTTATAACTTTTGATTGTCCCACACTGCTAAAGGGGATAAAATGACTAGTATTTATAGAACTTTATATTTACCACGTGTGTATTATACACATTGAGGTTATATGAGATCGTAAAATAAGAGTCTTGGGCCGCAATATTTCGCGACCTCAATGTTTTTACAAAACCACGAGAAATAAACGAAAACTATGTATATTTTATATTATCTTGTTGAAGTTTAATAATTTATTTTTCCTTTCAGATCTTTAATAAAAACGATCAGTCTAATTTATTTAACACCAAAGAAAAACGGGAAATTATTAAGTTGTTTAGAAACTAACATCTAAACGTTGTTAGATAACTTAGAAAACATTAAAAACTTAGAAACTAACAACTTGTTTTAATTTTTTTATTGATAAAAATTTCAACTTCCTAATTGTACCAATTGAAAATTTTAATTAATTATTATTTTTAAATCCATTGCAGTTTGTGGTTCGATTGACCAATAATTTTTTCTTTCAATTAATTAAATTTTATAAAAAGGTATTAGTCGAGATAAAAATTAATTAATTAAAAAAAGTTAATTGGTCAATCGGACCACGAACTGCAATGGATTTAATACCTAAACTGAAGTATATCTTCAGGAAAGCTATCCGTGGTCATTTCATTTGGCGCCGAGAATCAAGTAGATTCGACTACATTTGAAAAATGGCAAAAAGGATGGAAAATTCGAAAGGTGGGGTTGAGATGGGAAGTTAGTGTCCGAGTGGATCGAAGTCACGATTGCTCAAGTGGTAGAGGAGCGGCGTATTTAGCCGAAAGTCGTGGGTTCGTATCCCGCTCGTGACACTAACTTTTTTATCTCACCCAATATCTTTCATAAAAATTAAACCCAACTACTTGAATAATACTAATAAAAGCTTCGCTAGAGTAAAATGTTGGTGGTATATGTCAGAGGTCCCGTTTTTCTTCACACTATCTCACTCTGGGCTGTCAAAAAACCTCAAACACAACCTTGACTCATTCGAAAACGAAATTTTAGTTCAATTTTGCTCAGACTAATTGATGTGATTTCTTGTAAAGCTAGATCGAGCTGTTCTGTGCCTTGTCGGAATTTCCGGACCAAGGACAGGCGTTGTCGCACTTAATCAAGCTTCTGAAAGTAAACCGACACGTTTCTTCAGAGGTAGAATGTCGATAACGGAATATATTCGAAACAATAAAACGATCATCTCCCTGACGTGTGGCGACCTGATCCATACCATCTTGAAAAACCTCCAGTATCTTGGTAGCGATGGAAGTCCATTCGATCAGTTGTTCCGGGAATGTTAAGCACCCTGGCCACATACACAAATGCTACGATTTCAGCCGAATCTGTATCACTTAAAACGATCACTCAAACAAATTTGAAACTTAAAATTTTAAAACGTAAAAGAATTAAACCACAGAAACGTTAGAAAGAAGCTTTTCATAAAAACCAGCAAAGAAGAGATCGACTATTAAAAGATTTATTGACGAAATCCAACTGTACACAAGTAGGAGATTGTATCTATGTTTAATTGATCTCTAATATCTTTCAATTAATTAAGGTTTTTAGTTGAGATAAAAAAGTCAGTGACACTAACGGATTTCGAACCTACGACCTTCGGCTAAATACGCCGTTGCTCTACCACTTGAGTTATCGTGACTTCGATCCACTCGGACACTAACTTCCCATCTAAACCCCACCTTTGAATTATCCCTCTTTTTTGCCATTTTTCAAATGTAGTCTAATCAGGATTCGATTCTCTGAGACTTATGAAGTGGCGGGGAGCTGTTAGTGAAGTGATACTTCTTTTACTTATCAAATATTAATCCAGTTATGTTTAGTAGTCTAATTGACCAAATTACTACTTTCAATTAATGATTCTTTGTATGGTCTTGGTTGAGATGAAAAAGCTAGTGTCACGAGTGGGATTCGAACCCTTCTGCCTCAAAATTATCTTCTTTTTGCTAAGCTACAACACTAAAGCCATGCTGAGTACAAGGACAAAGATGAAAACCGAATTGATGACAAGGAGTTTGAATTTCATGTATCGTCGGTCGAAATATCCACAGAAAGAATCCTGTAAGGTTATAAGCAGGTCGGTTGGTCAAATCCTTCCAGCGTCATCGTCAAACCCGAACTATATTCCTAAATTACTTTATTAGCTGTTGGTTGTTTCTTTGTAATCTCTTGTTCATAGTTGTCATTTATGTACCAACTGCCATTGAAAACACAAATGAACCTTTTTTAAATTTGCAATATATTTGATGAATAATAACCATTTTGGAATTTGTAGCAAATTGTTTGGTAGAATCGAAACGACTGAGCCAACAATCAACAGCTCATGATTAGCTTTTGCTACTGACTTTCTAACAAGGTATTGAAGATCACTATTTATTATTCTATGTGTAATTTTTAATAGAAAGTTTGCAAAATAGAATACTGCTCAGAGTTTTTGTACCATGGTTCTGCTTGTTGTGGAAAACAGCTAACCAGATGAAAACAGCAGTTTTAAACAACTCCTCTTCCGTTTTTAGGCAGTTTAGATCGTTAGAAATAAGAGGAACGTGACTGTCTTGTATGAATTTATTTGGGAGATTTATTCGACCATGATATTAAACAAAAGATAAATTGTTGTAATTGAGGGTGGCTAGAAATGGTTTGTTAGCATAAAACACCCATTTCACGTCGTTTTTTTCCTTTTTCGTTTCCCATATGGACATTTTTTTTAGGTTAATTTGCTTGTCAATGGGCCAATCAGTATCAAATTCTAACCATTCAACACTCGTTCAATTGCTCGTTGAGGATGAGGAGGGGGAGACAAGCGAGGCTGGAGTTCAAATATTGATTTCTCTAGAAATCGCCGAGGCAAGAAAGGCCCTCCAACTCGGTTTGCAACTATTAGACGTTGCAGATATATGAGAAAAGTTGGCCGCTTAGATCTAACACTTCCTTTCTTCATCCAATTTCATTCTGTACGCGTCTTGCGCCATCCCTCCGCAATCTGTTCCTTTTCAAAGCCACACGTTTTTTTACCACCTAGACTTCGGCTTTTATTGCCGACGGTTATATCGCAAATGAAAATATGAAGAAATATTTTATATTTTATTGCCCGTCGATTCTAAACATTTTCTCGTTTTTCTAGGAAGGAAGATATGGGGTCGACTTGTTGCAAGCGCTTCCAAAGCCCCTACAGCCCGAAGATACCGGATTTCAACCAGATTTTCATCAACTGCGCTGAGCAGGTACGTGGAATATATTTTATACTTGTTTTTTGAGACTTTTATATTTTTTTCTCTACATAACAGAAATATCTCTTAACCAATAGTATAATTCACCACCAGTTTATATTCATTTTAACATAATGTTTGGTATTTATTGTATTATTGTATTGTATTCTATTAGGCATTTATTACATTATAAAAAAAACCGCTTTAACTGGGAGGATTTGAAAAATATTTTGTAACGAAATATTATTGGATACCCAATTTTTATAGAATAGAAAAGAAATGATTTTTATTTCTTTTCCTCACAATAACAACATACAAATATGAACTGTACAAAAAGCTATACACATTTGAGATATCATCTGTCTGCGGAAGTTGGCACCCATAATATATACATAATATCCAGGGTGACTGGCGATTATGGTCAAATTTCAGGAGGTTTTTCTACTCACCTGAACAAAAAACTTTCTATAGACCCTTGTCCAAATCTCAACGGAAATGAAGTAATTTCAGGTTTTGGGAGAACCAGTTTCCCTCAGTATCTGATTAAGTCGTTGAAAGTGCGATCTGCTGGAACGTCTCAATGTGAAAAACGAGCTTCGTGTTCTCCCCTTGCAGCAGTAGCATTACCATTGCAGTAACCGTGAATGAGTGCATATCAGTGTGCAAAAACCCAAAACCTGAAATTACTTCTTTACCGTTGAGATTTGGACAGGGGTTTTATAGGAAGTTTTTATGTTGCACATGGTGAGTAAAAAAACCTGAATTTTCTACACTTATCGCCAGTCACCTGTATGTAAGAGGAATTGAATCATATATTAATTCAATTACAGAAAATATAACAATAAAATAAACAAGCGTTTATTACAATTTCTCAAAATGTAAGAAATCATTTAGTTTAATATATATCCATAGCCCATTTATAGCCCATAACAACTATTAATAAATACATAAATATTGTATGCAGTTTTCAATTAATTAATATTTATAAAGGTATTGGTTGAGATTAAAAAGTCAGTGTCACGAGGGGGATTCGAACCTACGATCTTCAGCTAAATACGCCGCTGCTCTACCACTGGAGCTATCGTGATATCGATCCACTCGGACACTAACTTCCCATCTCAACCAACATTGAAAAATGGCAAAACAGGAGGTAAAATTCGAGAACTGAGGTTGAGACGACCATCGACGCCGTCCCCCTTTTGTCGTAGTTGTCTGAACTTTCAATTTACTTTCAATTAATTAATCTGTATTTAAGGTATTGGTCGAGATAAAAAAAAGTCAGTGTCACAAGCGGGATTCGAAAGGTGGGGATTGAGATGGGAAGTTAGTGTCCGAGTGGATCGAAGTCGCGATAGCTCAAGTGGCTGAGTAGCGGCGTATTTAGCCGAAGGTCGTGGGTTCGAATCCCGCTCGTGATGCTGACTTTTTTATCTCAGCCAATACCTTTCACAAATATTAATTAATTGAAGAATTGGTCAATCGGACCACGAACTGTAATGGATTGTATACAGTACTCAATTTAACATTCACAAAATAAATAGCCTTTGAATAGCATTAACAATCACACACATTAATAAGTTATAGATTCAAATAGTAAAACACGAGAATAAATAAATCAACAGATGAATAAACAAATAAATAAATACTTACTTATATTAATTTAATAATTAAATTCTTGTGTCTATTGATTTCTATATTTTAATCCATAATTTTATAGTTCCTGCGAATTTCGTCCATTTAAATATTGGAGAAATGTATTCCAATTTAATTCGAATGCACGTAAAAAAGTTGTTCTTTAGTTCCGCAGAATTGGGCAGATACATGCAAAACGGAAGACAGTTTCATCTGCTAACATATTGCCTAACACTTATGCCTCTCCTCGTTTCTAGTGTATGAACAATTTAAATTTAACATTTCACTCCTAGTTTCATTTTTATAGACATAAAACACCTTCCTGAACTGTCTTTAAATACGTGTTTTCTTCTAAGTCGGTGTTGATAGCTTTGTATAGTGAATGAAAACGCGTGCGCTCTCTCCTACAAATGAGACCCTGTCTGAAATTTATTAAATAGATAGATATATAAATAGATAAAACGATAAATAGGTAAATAGGTAAATAAGTATATAAGTAAATAGATAAATAGGTAAATATATGAATAGGTAAATAGATAAATAGATAAATATATAAATAGAATAATGGATAAATGGATAGATGGATAAATAGATAAATAGATTTAAATCTTCTAGAAAGTTATCTACATATATGCTATTTTTTATTAATATAATTTTTTAATATCATCTAATTTTTACACATTTGTTAACTAACGAATCATACCAAAAGATTTTTTTTGTCATTATCTCTTCTATTAATTTCTTCCTACGCAATTTTTATGTTTGCAACAGGAAAGATGAAAAATCGTCATTATGGCAGTCAGCCAGAATCCCTTGCTTGAGCTAACATTATCCCACAGGGTTTAAATTCTCGTAAAGTGTGAACTTTTATTGTGAGTTTTCATCTTGTGGTCTGCGGGGTGATAAATCGATTGTCTGATAGTTATCTATCATCTTGGTCTGCTTGTCCTCGCTGATTTTTGTTGGTTTAGAGGCGTTTCGGAATTTCACCATCTTCGGTGTTTGGACGATGTCTATAAAGTGAAGTTTTAAGTGTTTGATGGTATAGTCGAAGTTTTTTGATTGTTCTAGGTAGTCTTTCTGACCTTCGGTCCTTTGACTTTTCATTTAGTGTAATGTTTTAAATGTGTAACTCATTTTTGTGAATTATTGTTAATTTGATATTTAAGAGTTTTTTTTAACGTTTTGTTTCTAGATTTCTAATTTTTCCGGCATTTCATTTTTCGTCCTTTTTATACGCTGTGTAGTAGTTTCGTACTTGTTAGTATTTATTTAGAAATCGTGAGATGCGGTCTGGTGTGATGTAGGTTTCAGAAAAACATTTTCTTTATCGTGCCAACGTTTCGATCTTTATTGAGGTCATCTTCAGGGCTCAAAGTATTTGTCTTCTGTGTACTTGTGCCATTCTTGCGTGTCGTGTCGAGAGTGCCATTAGTGTTGTCGATGGTTCGTGGTTGTTTCCTGTTAGGTGTGTGGAGTAATTAAATTTTCCGTCGTTGTACATAAACGATTTGATTTATTCATCTGTTTACTTTTTGTCTTCCTGTTAGATGTATTTCACTCCACATTTGCATGTTAGTGTGTATATTTCGTTTTATTGTACTTGCTCCATCTTGTTTATGTTTTGTCTTAGCAATTTGCCTAATATGTTTGTGGTTTTGAGTGATGTTTTTATGCCTAATTTCTTGAATAAATAAGCCCTTTTGTACGTTTCGTTCCCAGTAAAGTTGAAAATGGTTTATTTTTTATTTATTTTTTAACGGGGTTTCTAAATATCAACACTCGGAGTGCCGGTCTTTCAGAAAAACAATCACCTCACAGAGATGAGCGGCTAAACCGTTGCGGCCATCGACGCCGTCCCCCTTTTGTCGTAGTGGTCTGAACTTTCAATTTACTTTCAATTAATTAATCTTTATTTAAGGTATTGGTGGAGATAAAAAAAGTCAGTGTCACAAGCGGGATTCAAAAGGTGGGGTTGAGATGGGAAGTAAGTGTCCGAGCGGATCGAAGCTCAAGTGGTAGAGCAGGGGCGTATTTAGCCGAAGGTCGTGGGTTCGAATCCCCACGACGCTGATTTTTTTATCTCAACCAATACCTTTCATAAATATTAATTAATTGAAATATGTTAATTGGAACTGTAATGGATTTAATAATTCCTTACTTCACTCTGGGCATTTCTAGAATTTTAACTGTTGGTAATAATTAATATTTTCAACACAAACAAACTTTCAATAAAGAAATATTTTTTCCCTCTGTACAAATATTAATATTTTTTATCTCTCTTCTTATAAAGATATATGCTATGATATATGTTTATGATGTATATGTTAAAAGTATATACTTGTGTTTTTTCTTTATTTTATATGAACTGTATTTGTCTTGGTATTTTTATAATTTGAGATTTGTTATTGTTGCCGTATCTCTTTAAATGGGATGCTTACATTAATAAATTATTTTATAATCACTCATTTAATTGTACACAATTTTTTTGAAGTGAAAAATTTGTGTCACTCTCTCTCTCTCTCTCTCTCTCTCTCTCTCTCTCTCGCCCCTTCTCTTTCTCTCTTGCTCTCTCTCTCCTTCTCTTTCTCTCTTGCTCTCTCTCTCTCTCCCCTTCTCTTTCTCTCTTGCTCTCTCTCTCACTCTCTCTCCTTCTCTCTCTCTCTCTCTCTCTCTCTCTCTCTCTCTCTATCTTGCTTTCTCTCTCTCTCTTTCTCTCTGTCCTTGCTTTTTTTCACTCTCTCACCCAATTTCTTCGTTTTTTGCAAAAATTTTATCTCACCCCATTATCTCCAATTTTTTACCTATTTGTACTTTTATAGATTTTACCAAATAACTGTCAGTGAAAATGAAAAGTGACTTCACCAGTGAAATATGTTGGTCTTGAATAATGGCAAAATTGTAATAACAAACCCTTTTCTATTTTTAATACATGTTTGAAAATTAGATTCTTAAAGTAAAAAATGATACCAAGATGAAATTAGATTTATTGCTTATTATATTTCTATTTAAATATGACAGGCTATTTACTAATTTTAATCTACTGTAAATATTTTGTAACTTTTTATCTCATCTTATCAAATAATTATCATAGAATTAGTATAATGTTTTATACATCACATTTTTTTGTCCAAGTTCTTATTTGCTTACATTAGGAAGCACATATTCATTTCGAGAAAATTGCGGCTATTTTGATGATTATTTTTAACTTCAGACTCAAATTCAAATTCAATTCTTGTTTGTTTTGCCGGTTCCATTTCACTCGTAATTCTATTGCGTTGTAAGGTGTAAACCGGTTTTCCTCTCTGAGATATATATATCCAATTGTTTTTGTTTTCTTTGAATTGGGTAAAACTCGATGTCGGTTACGTAAGAAGCCTTGG